GTGTAATTTTTTACGAACTTTGTAGACATCGTTTGCAATACTTTCTTAATTTATTTATTTTCTTTTTTTATGTTTTTTAAAATTAGTTTTTTTTTTCTAGAATAAATCTGTTAGCTTCTTTTATATTTTTGTAAGTTTTTTTTAAAAAGTTTTATATTTTTGTTTTTTTACATGTTCTTTTTAGTATTCTTTCAATGTTTTAATACTAGAATTATTAAAATTTCAGTGTTGAGAACTATTTTTATTTATAAAATTAGTTTATTTAAATTTCAGTTTACTATAGCAGTCTGCAGACGTTAAAAAACAAACATGCTTCTTATTATAAGTTGCAGCCGTTTGTTCCACTTCTTCTGCTACAGAGGATTGCAGAGGTGGTCCGCACACTTCATGAATTTTTGTTTCGAAAAAACAAACAACACCTAAATCTTGCAAATTAACAAGTCTTTCAAAACGAAAATAAAAACTCACAATAAAATTTTTAAACTCACAAATATTGGAAGTAATTTATTTGATTAGTAAGTTTGTTTGATGACCACGATAGTCCAAATCTAGAAAAAATATAAAACTCACTTAGAAACATTTGAAAAACTAGTCTAACATGAAAAAAAATATAGACAACAACCATAAACAAAAAATAGTTACGAACAAACGTTTGAAAAAAAAAGGTTATTGTCATTTAAACCACATAAACTATGGATTTGAGTCTAAACGGTCACTATACTAATATGTGTGCATTTTAAACCATTAAAGTAACAAATAACTTGTTCAAAAGGGAAATTTCAACATTTTGATTAGGTTAGCAGGTTACTTTGCATTGGTGACTTAGATAACCTGACAAATGAAGCCACGTGGACAACAAATGGTCGATGTGACATGGAAAGAGCTGAACTTAAAATCACCACAGAACTCTTCATGTCTTTTACCACTATCACCACCACCAACTAAAAAAGATGAACTTAAAATCAAAACCAAATTTAAATTCCTAACCTAAAATCAAAACCAAATTGAAAAGAAAATAAAAGACCTATAACATTGGAATACAGATCGACATGTTTATGTATACAATCAAAGTTGATGTTTATTCAACAACTAATCACATCTTACAAAAACAAATCCCCAAGAAATAAAAATTATAACATCTCTAATTTTCACGGTTCGAAAAGACCTTTTATTTATACTTATTTTAAAACAAACTATTCTTTATAAGTGCGTGTTTATGCGGAATTTGTCCCAAAATATGATTAAAGCATTTTCAAAGAAATATTTTCATTAATATTTTAAAAGTTAGTGTCTCATAACTGATATACAAAACATAAGTATAAACTGAATATTATAAGCCTTACAACAATTCATTATTCTATCAGCCTATACTCCTTAAAACTCTCAGTGGATTGTTCCTTCGTACCGCTACCTGTGATACAAAGAAACTAGGTGGGTCAGGCTTGAGAGTCTGGTAAGCACATAGGGTTTTTAACCCACAATACTTTAATTATATATTTTCCACAATAAGCAAATAACCCGATTACCCATCACCCATTATTCTCACTCCCTGATCCTACGATGATGATCTTGTTGGACTTATCATAAAGGATCTCCGTGAGCAGACAATACTACTTTGGGGAATCCATATCAATATATGTCAATAAGGCAACCCTGAGGGGATAGAATACCCGAAAGAACCACTTTCATTTTCCCTTGAAAAGTATGTTCATTAACACCTACAAGTGGAAAACATGCTACTGTTCCACCAGACTATCTAGAATAGTCAGTGGTCGTCATTTATACTCTGTAAGATGAATGGTCCTGGTATTACAGTTAGTACAATGCATGACCTCTCATCATTATTTCATTTTCCGATAACCCTTCGCTATCCAGTATAGTTTAAATGTGATAAAATAAATATACCAATAAAATCAGATCATAATATTGCAACTAGCACGGATATCAAGAACACTAGATATAATAGGCCCATATAGGATTTTAATATCTAAATACTTCATATCTATGTGTAAGATGAAAGTAACTATGCACTAACTTGTTAAAAGTGGATGCCTCAGAATTTGGGTAAGGCTTCGCCTTAACACTTAGTTTTTCCCTTGACGTAACTTATATATAATTGTTACTAAGTCTTAGTCTAATATTTCTCATTACTAATGATAATCTAGATTCCTCAACAATTCCAATGTCTACATCAAGATCTATCAAGTAAGGAATAACCAGCTAGGATCATATGGAGGTAGGATCTGTTTGGTGTACAGAGTATACTCTTTGGAAATCCCACTTTAAACACCTTACTAAATCCAGCCTAGACATCACTCTTGTAAGTAGATCGATTAGTATAATGACTTGGAATCACTGATAAATCTTATTTATAGGTTCATAATAACGATTATGATTATAAATATAAGTTACACTTGAATTAAAATAAGTGTAGCTTAACTTAAGAGTTTTCTAACAAGACTAGTGATTATACGGGTATATCTACGACCCGGGAACTTATATTCTCCTAGTTTCTGATGCCGCATGGCCTCGCTAAAGTAGTCAGGAACTAGAGATTAAAGAGGCTAGGGGTACGAGAGATGTCCATAGGATTCTGGGTGAAAGTGGTGAAGAAAATGCTGCAAAAACGCAGTTTATATAGTACTGGAAGAGGGGGGCACACCGCGCCCTTTGTCTAGGTGCACCACGCCTCTGATCGGGGCACCAACGTGGCTTCGCTCAGAGGGTAACACATGGTGGATTTTGGGTAGGGATGTATCGGCTTCCTTGTCTCTGCGCAAGAAAATTTAATATTTTCCAAACATTCATATCTTCTTCATACGAGCTCCATTTTCGATATTCTTTATATCCACACATAGCTATAGACGAGATCTACAACTATGTAATGTCCAAATCTTGAGGTACATTGTTTAAAACTAAAATTATCATTTTGAGGGTTACCACGACGTGGTGAGGCGAGAAGGATTCGTGTGTTTCATTTAAGCCACCACGGCGTGGCAGTATTGGCCACGGCGTGGTGGATAGCTGATGTGAAAACCCAATTTTTTCGGGTTTGATCCCTATTGAAAGGAATGAGGAGGCTAGGGTTTGCTCATCCTCAGCCTCCATCATCCCCCTCAAGCCCTAAATAAAACCCTAATCACTATCCTCCACTATTGAGCTAGTTTTCGTTTTCCTTGAAGCAAAAGAAGGAAGAAGGAGGAAGAAGGAAGCAAAGATCATGCAAGCAAGTCTCCATTCGTCACCTTAGCACTCTTCTGGACCTTTGTAGGAGTCCAAGACTTGATTTTTATCATGCTAGGTTTCTAGATCTTGAGTTTTGTCCCATAAACTTCTTGTTCTTGTTTGTTGGGATGGTGAGATTTCTTAAAGTTTTCAATTTTATGAATCTCTGGGGAATTTGGTGTAGTTTGTGCCTTGGATCTAGAGTTTGGTTGGGGTTTCAATCCATGAATGTGATTTAGGTCATAAAACCTTATTTTGACCTAATATGGGTTCAAGACATGAATTGGACATGCATGTCTATAAAGCACCAACTTTTAGGTTAGTTTTCATGCTAAAATCACTTCTGGAAAGGATGGACGTGACGCCTTATGGAATAAGTGCTTATTGGTTAAGTTCTTGCATTGTTAAGCCTTTTGGACTTAGATATTTGGGTTTTGGACCTTATGGGTGGTCCTAATCGATAAAGTTAGAAACTTTATCCTTCTAGATCACATTTTGGAATATATCTGAGCTTTGGAGCTCTTGGAATCGAAGAAAACAGGTTAATACATTAAGCTGTTGGAACCTCGGCAACCACTGCGTGGTCCTACGTCACCACGACATGGTGGCTGGGATTTTCCTGACTGTTTAGTAGTATATGGGCCACGACGTGGCCAAGGAAGACCACGTCATGGCGGTCGGCTGGAGTCAACATTGACTGTTGACTTTGACCATTGACCTTTAGGGTTGACTTTTGACTTGTGGACTTTTGTTCAGCTATTAATAGGTAAATTAAGGTCTTGCCTTGTATGATTATCTAGGTGGCGTTTAGCACCGGTTGTAGGATTGTGAGGGCATGTTCATTTTTGATTTGCTTTGTGAAGTGAGTCTTCTCACAGTACTTGCGGGTCGAAGGCACCAATGTTGTCCCATTGGATTATATAAGTATGCTAGTTGTCTTTGTGAATCTTGCTTGTATTGTATGTGTTTGTATGTATACCGGTTGGGGCCTGATGAGTGTGTTGGGCAGGGCCCATCGCATGTTACTGACAGACCTGTTCTGGGCGGGGCCCGATGTCGGGCGGATCCCAATGGGTTTCGGGAAAATCCCATTGTATGTATGGTATGAGGTGTTTTGGGGAACTCACTAAGCTTGGTGCTTACGGTTTTTAGTTTATCTTTCAGGTACTTCCGGTTCGGAAGGGAAGGGCTCGGGATGACCGCATTGCACACACCATGATTTTCCGTTTTATTGACTCTGATGTACTTTTGGGATGTTTATTGATACTCTCTGAATACTTTTATGGTTTTTTCAAACATGTTTGGTTGATAGTTTATTTAATATAAAAAAACAAAATTGTTTACAAATAAAATGACATTTAGTGGCACAGAAAAAGTGCCACTAAAAACCAAAAAAATGCCACTAAAGCCGACATGGGGAATCAGCGGCACAAAAAAAGTGTCACTAAAAGCCTTTAGTGTCACTTTTTGGTTGTGTCGCTGCAGGCTTTATGTTTTTAGTGGCACTTTTTTATGCCACTAAATCATTTTAGGGTTTTTATGGCAGTTTCTTATGTCAATATATATTTTCTAAAATAAATTTTATTTTCTTGCTTTTAGAGACACATTTTTAACTCAAAAAAATTATAATCTAATATTAAGTTCAACTTTTTAAAATTTAAATGGAATATAAAATAATGAAAAGACAATTAAGATTATATATAGAAAACCACAATGTAATTACAATATCATTATTTAAATTAAAATTGAACTTGTCTAATAACAATATTGTCAATATTTAAAATACAAATGTCTTCAAATTTTGATAAATCTACATGTAGTGCTAGTAACTCTCAAAACATAAAGCTATTAAACTAAATACTTATTTGGGAAGAATCATTCATGGTTTTACTCTAATGTTCATATGGAAGACACTAACAAGTCTGTTTACTTTAGTTAGAAGAAGATATATACTCGAAACTTTCTTGTCCTTCCATGAAGCAAATGTTGAAACCTGCGGAACATTTACAACTTAATCAGAAACTTATTGTATGATATCATATACACAACACTAAAAATGATTTTTCATATTGGTTTCACCAGTTTCATTGGAAACATGATGTAATTCTTTCTTGTGCACATGTATAAAATCAATTGCACTAAACTACACAAAATATTGAAAAAAATATAATACAGAGAGGATGAACATTTACTGTAATAAAACTCAGCCAAAACCCAAGAACCGTCCCTGATGAAATCATGAATTCTAACATATGTTATGGTTAGTTCAGGTACTGTAAATCATCACAATTGAGATCTATAAAATAAATTGGAATTAGAAAAATTATATAAACGAATGATATCATATTGATAGCTGCTAGAAATATAACTTGCATCACCTTGTGAAGTGTATAGATTTTCTTCTCTGATAAATGTTTCCCAAAGTTTCCATTGGTGTCTATATTAGTGTTACAAAATACACATTAATCAATCAACATGTTGTATACAAGTGAAAATAAAACAGTTCCATGAGACTTACTAACCTTAACCCCTCTAAATACAACAAGAAGAACAGTAAACATCACATGTACAACTGCTGGTATGAAAATAAAGATTTCTATACTATAATTTTCCAGGTTACAAATTCGCTTATGGTTTGAAAATTGAAAGATGATGGTGCAACAACTTTATCAGTGATATTGATTCCATAACAACAAATAAACATGAGTCTATCTCTCAATGTCAATATAGTATAGTAGAAATCACAGATTCACAATTCAAAGTTTCAACAGAAAAGTGAAAAATAATGGAACATTGAGTCAAATATTTAACAATTCAAAGCAGTCATAACTTGTGTTGTGTCCCAGAAGAAAGCATGGACATGTAAAGTGAAACTAAAGAACTTGAGTGTATCAAAGTCAATATACTTACCAGGTTGGACTAGAAAGTCAATGTGAATTGAAGATTCAATTTTAATCTGCCATATTTTTGCCATGTATGACACCCAGGGGGTCAATATATAAGCTTTTAAATTTGTATGATGGAATGACCAGAATATAGAGGATATCCACAAGATCATGTCAAAAACATAATAGTATATGAGATAAAGCTCATTAAATTCAAATGATAAACTAAATCTAATCCATTACCACCTCGATACCATCTAATCCATCATCTAATTTTGATGGAAAATACTTTTTGGTTATTAAGAATTTTTAGAAGTTAGAATCGAAATAAAATGACAGAATGAGAGATTCAGAAACATAACATACCGGAGATGGAGGTTGAAGGCGAAAAGGTTGACGATGGTCGATGGCAGCAACCGCGTAAGTTTCTGATTTTGATAGAGAGATAGAAATCGCGACGGTAAATATCGTCCAACAACAAAATTGATGACAATTGGAGCGGCGGAAGAGTTGACGATCGGTGATATCAACGACGGAAGGATGGGGTTGACAATGAACGATGGTCGATTGCATAAGGTGAGTGTCAATATGGTCTTGTTCTTCTTATGGTTTTGAGAGAATGAGAGTTTAGTCTTGAATGTCGGGGCCTGCTAAACAGTCGATATAAAACCCTAGTTGAGGCGGAACTTTCTATCTCAGCGGGAATACGAAAAAAATTAGAACTTTCAAGTTGGCGGGACTTTTAATACGTAGCGCGAGTAGAAAATTTATACCGTTTATTTTAGTTATAATGGCACAAAACATATATGTGCCACTAAAAACATATTTTAGTGGCACAAAACAAAATATGACACTAAAAACTTGTGCCACTAAATGTAATTTTGTTTGATACATTTTTGTTTGTAGTGGTTCTAAATTCTGGGACGTTACAACTTACAAGTTGTTATCAGAACCTTGATTTGAGGGATTCGGGCATACTATCGGGTGTGACTAAACTCAAACTGAGGGTTTGGTAGATTGTTCATAAGAAGAAATGTTTTATAAAAGAGTTTTCTAATAAAATAAAGGGGTGTGGTGCATGAAATCGACCGAGCTCAAGTAAGTTTTCCCAAAATACCCATACATGTTCTTGTGATATGCTTTGAATTGTGAATCTATGGATTGCATGCTAGACTAGGGCTAAGGATCTACTCAGGATTTGCATGATAGAATGATAGGAGAGATGACTTTATATGCCTATTATATGATCTTGTATACTTGCATGCTAGTATTGGATCAGTTAGTGATAGGATAGCCTGTTTAGGTTATGCTTTGATTCGGATTACTTGGTGCTCGAATGCTACTTGCTTTGTGCTTTTAGCGTTCCCATTATCATAAGCTAACTAGTAAGCTAATACGCTAAGTTACATATTTCTGAGATTAGATAATTTCAGAAGGTTAGGTTTAACCCTATTGTGCAGCTCTTTCCGAGTCCAACCTTTGTACTGTGAGACCTTTCATTCAAAGAATTATTTGGTGTTGATGATATGTAATTGTGTTCGTATGCTAGTTAGAGGGTGTTAGAGGGAGTACCTTCTACAGTTGATGGCAGAGAGTGGTATGGTTGTAGCCCTAGGAAAACCTAGGAGGTGATTCGGTGCCGAGGGATTTCCTTTGTAAGGGGTTGTTTGGATCGATAGGGATGTAACTTGGGGATTTGGGGCTATCCTTGAGGAAAGTACGGATAGATGTAGAAGGTAGTATGGGCCCGTACTACTGGAAGAAAAGGATTCGTACTCGAGTCAAGGAAAGTCACGATGGTACCAGGAAGCTTGTAGGAAATGAGATTTCTTTTTAGGCATGTTCTAATGGCTTGAATTGTTTATTTTCAGTATGGTGGCCACCCAAGGAGGTTCTGGAAGTGGTTCGGGTTCTGGATCTAGGGTCGGACATATGGATGATCAGATGCAAGAGTTCATTTCATCAGAGATTACCCGTAGTATTCTGGAGCAGACTCATGTGATCTTTGGTACGATCAAGGAGGGTATCATGGAGATTCTAGATGAGCGCTTGGGTGCTTTTTGTTCTAAGATGGTGGCGATGGTGGGAGCACATACTTTGACTTTCCGAGAGTTACGGGCATGTGGAACCCCAAAGTTACGAGCAGACGTTGGTTAGAGGATGTCACGAACGCCTTCCGTACTAGTTGTTGTCCCGAGCGGGCAAAGGTCAGACTTACATCCTGTCTTATGAAAGACAGAGCTTGAGACTGGTGGGAGGAGGTTGGTCATTCCTTGAGAGGCGAGGCGGTTGAGTCGATGACTTGGGAGGGTTTCGTGACGAGGTTATGGGCTGAGTTTGCACTTGTGATTGAGGTCCAACAGTTGGCGAGGGAGTTCCAGGACCTTCGCCATACTACTGAGACATTAGCGGAGATCACCGCTATGTTTCGTGAGAGGATGTTGTTGGTTCCGCAGTATGTGGCGGACGAGGAGATGAAGAAGGCGAGATATCATGAGATGTTGAGGAGCGATATCAGACAATTTGTGAGCAGATCCAGTTGCAAGACACTGGATGATATGGTGGCCCGAGCCAAAGAGAGGGAGATTGACCTGGAGATGGAGAAGAAGAGGAAACCATATCAGATTTAGAGTTCTGAGGGTTCAGGCAAGAGGCCCAAGGTGTTTGATTTGAGATCGAGGGGCCAGCAGGGTCGGGGCCGCTACGGCAAGTGCGGCAAGACGCACGATGAAGCTTGCAAAGTGGGTGGTTCTGGCTGCTTCAAGTGCGGCAGGATAGGACATATCAGTAGGGATTGCACTGCCACCACCACCATCCATGTATCTGATCTGATCTGCTTTCATTGCATTAAAGAGGGGCCATAAGAAGGCCAACTGCCCGAGCCTAGCAGCAGCAGGACCAGTTGCAGCACCCACTCTGGCGATCATGAGGATTACAGATGGCAGTCAGGGCAAGGCTGAGGCGCCTGTTGTGAGGAGCAAAGCATTTCAGTTGACAGCCGAGGAGGATCGTGCAGCACTAGAGGTGGTGACGGGTATGTATCTTCTCCTTATCTCTTTATTTATGTTGATTTTCCTTCTTATATCCATGTTTTGTTTTTAGGGTCGTTCCTTGTAAACGGTATCTATGCCTTGGTTTTGTTTGATTCGGGGGCTACCTGATCCTTTGTATCTCTCGCGCTCAGCAAGAGGTTTGTCGATGCTTCGGGGGAGCTGGAGTATCCATTAGAGGTTGAGATTGCTGATGATCATCTTGTGGTAGTATCAAGGGTTCATCAGGGCTATATATTGGAGCTGTTTAGTGAGCCGTACCCGATTGATTTGGTTCCTATTCCTCTGCATGAGAGCTAGGTTATTTTTGGGAAGGATTGGTTAAGCCCCAATGGGGCAATGACTGATTGTGAGCATCAAATGGTACGTATTCAGACCCCAAGTGGGGGGAGCTAGTGATTCAGGGAGAGGGTGTTCAGCGTGGTTCGGTTCTATGTTCAGCAGCTAGGGCTAAACATTATCTTCAACAGGGTTGTTCTGGATTTGTGGCTTATGTGATGGATACTCGGGAAAAGGGTAAGGCGAATGTGGATGACACACTGATTGTTCGGGAGTACAAGATGTGTTCCATGAGGATTTTCCTGGTGTCCCTCCAGAGAGGCAGGTGGAGTTTCGGATCGACATGGTTCTAGGTGCGGCTCCGATAGCCAAATCACCTTCTCGCTTAACACCTCCAGAGATGCAGGAGTTGTCTACACAGCTGCAGGAGTTGTTAGACGAGGGATTTATTCGGCCGAGTAGTTCACCATGGAGAGAATTGATATTGTTTGTGAAGAAGAAGGATGGGTCGCATCAGATGTGTATCGACTACCGGAAGCTGAATAAGCTAATGGTGAAGAACTGTTATCCACTCCCGAGGATTGACGATTTATTTGACCAGCTCCAGGGTGCATCTAGGTTTTCTCAAATTGATCTGCATTCGGGATATCATCAGATGAGGGTCATAGAGGAGGATACATAGAAGACGGCCTTCCGAACTCGTTATAGTCATTACGAGTTCGTGGTGATGCCCTTCGGGCTCACCAATGGCCCAGCCGCATTCATGGATCTCATGAATCGCATATGCAGGCTTATGCTGGATCGGTATGTGATTGTGTTTATTGATGACATCCTGGTCTATTCCAAGACCCAGGAGCAACATGAGAAGCATCTGAGGGAGGTATTGGAGACTTTGAGGAGGGAGAGGTTGTATGCAAACTTTTCCAAGTGTGAGTTCTGGTTGCGCGAGGTGCAATTTCATAAATACCTTGTCAACCAAAACGATATTCTAGTCGATCCGTCCAAAGTTGAGGCGTTGATGAGGTGGGAAGTTCCAAGGTCTCCATCCGAGATTCAGAGTTTTCTTGCATTTGTAGGTTACTATTGGAGATTCATTCGGGATTTCTCCAAGATAACGGTTCCTTAGACTAGGTTGACGAAGAAGACTGTTACTTTTCGTTGGGGGCCTGAGCAACAGACAACTTTTGAGACTCTGAGGCAGAGATTCTGTGAGGCGCCGATTATGGCCCTGCTAGAGGATGTTGAGGATTTTGTGGTGTATTGTGATGCATCAATCATAAGTTTGGGTACAGTGTTGATGTAGCGGGGTCATGTGATCGCTTACGCCTCGAGGCAGCTGAAACCTCATGAGACGAATTATCCTACGCATGATTTGGAGTTAGGGGCAGTGGTGTTCTCCCTCAATATTTGGCGACATTACCTCTATGGGGTCCATTGTACTATTTACATGGATCATAAGAGTCTAAGGTATCTGATGGATCAGTCGAATCTGAATATGAGGAAACATAGATGGTTGATATGGTGAAGGATTATGATTACGAGATCCTTTATCACCCGGGAAAGGCCAACGTGGTGGCCGATGCTCTCAGCCGCAAGTCGGTTGCTTCCCCGATCAAGGATGTATGTTTGAGTATGACAGGGATTACCCCACTCTTAGAGCATATTCGATAGGCTCAGATTGAGGCTATGAAGGAAGAGCACCGGAAGAGTGAGCGCATAGTGGGTTAGGTGGATTCCTTTGATTATGATAGTCGAGGCTTATTAACCCTTCATCGGTGGGTGTGTGTTCCATCTTGGGGTGGTGCACGTTAGGTTTTGATGGAGGAGGCACACAAGTCGATATTCTCTATTCATCATGGAGCGACAAAGATGTATAGAGATCTCCAGCTTGACTATTGGCGACCATGTATAAATTTTCATATAACAACAATTATCATGCCAGCATTGATCGACCTCCTTTTGAGATGCTCTATGGAAGGAAGTGTAGGACTCCGATATGTTGGGATGAGGTCGGTCAGCAGGTCAGGGGGGGTACGGTGGTGGTACTCAAAACAACAGAATTGATTCAGCAGGTTCACGACAGACTTCAAACAACACATAGCCGACAGAAGAGTTACGCAAATAGACGTCGGTCAAACTTGGAGTTTCAGGTTGGGGACATGGTACTTCTGAAGGTGTCACCTTGGTAAGGTGTCATCCAATTCAGGAAGCGGGGTAAGCTAAGCCCCAAGTATATTGGTCCTTTCAGGGTTTTAGCCCGGATGGGCAGGGTTGCGTATCGCTTGGATCTGGCCGAGGAGCTCAGTCTGATTCAG